GGAGGAGAATCGCGGGGTGGAGGGATACTCGTGGGGACAATGTCGTGACGGTGGGCGACAAAAGCAAGTAACGATGGGCTAACGTTGGGCGGTAAATAAGGTCAAGATCGAAGTCGGGGCGACAAGACAATCGAGGTGTGCGACGTGTGTAAAGTAAAGTGGGAGAGATATAAACTATTTGTCGTGCAAAGGAAAAAAAACCGTAACGTAAGGAGGCGAAAACCGCATCAACAGACAGACAGACAAGAGATATTGTATGGTATGTACGAAAGCTAGACCAGCTAAAAGACGTCCAGTATTAAATCGAGTTGGCTGGCTGGACTGGCTGGACTGACTGGCTAGGGGCGTGTCGGGGTACTATGTATGTAGATGATGTGGTGTCTTGGAAAGCTTAGAGCAAGGTAGTGGGAGTTAAAGTGAACCGTAGAGTCGGGTGTTAAGAGCCACTGCGTGTGGCTTTGAGTTTTGACTTTGTCTCTCTTTAGTCTTGGTCTTGGTCTTGTTAGTTATTTCGTCTTTGCTTTTGCAGGGCAGGGCCAAGGGCGGCATCAAAGCATGGGTGTGATGTTATAATATGTATCGGGGAAAGCTTGGCCTATGGAACATGTCTTGGAAGAGTGAGTGAGTGCCCTGATCTGTCTGCGTTGGCCTGTGCTATGAGCCTGCCTGGGATGCTTTGCCTGACCGTCAGTCCCTCCTCACCACACTAGAGACTAGTGACGAGCAGATGGTGGAGAGTTTCGGGCTGGCGTTATTTGGATCACAACAGGGCGACAAGACAAGACAAGACAAGCCAGGGCTCAACTAACAGGGGTAGGATAGGACAGGATAGGAGACCAGGGGAGGGGAATGGGATGGCAATGGAGATGGGTACAGTAACAGTAGACTAGGGGAGAGGCTTGAGGGGAGATGCAGGTAAGGAAAAGCGGCGTCGTGGGTGTGGGATGAAGGCCCAGAACCTAGAAACTCAAGAGCTAGAGCCAATGCCAGAGCCTGAACTAGAGCCAGCAGGTACCGTACTGGGGCGAATCCAGTACCGTCTGTCGTTGTTTGAACTGATTTGGATACTCTCGATCAAGCGACTAACTGACTGTAGAAGCCAAAGCTCCCAGGACCGGCTGTGGACACCGGCCCGAGTGGACGGCGTGTTACAGAAGACACACGACGACGTGAAATGTGGGCAGTAAGTGACAGTGGATATCTGGTGCTTGCTTCGGGGTCCTTTGCTGCGAGATGTTCTGTAGTGAAGTGTACGTACTCTGTCTGTTATGGACTGGATCATCCGGGATGGATTTGGACTGAATTGTGGAGGATTCGATGTGGTGGTGCTTTAATTGTTAGCTGGAGAATAAGAGCCGGGGGTCTCTGTTGCGGCATTAGCGGACTTTTGATGATTTCAATGCATTGTAGTGTGTAAGCAGTAGAAGACTCGATGGCATCCGAGTGAGGATGAAATGCCGAATGGAATTCCCTTCTCAACAGGCGCACACGGCGAGTGCGATAATTTAGTAGCCACGTACATGAAGAATACTACGAACAGTAACAGTCAGCAACACAGCACAACAGAAAATCAAGATATATTTCCCGAAGGTAGAGTCGCGTGCGGATCCAATCGAAGACAATGGCTTTGAGGAGCTCTGATGAAACGTATGCCGAGACTTGGGACCCAACAAGGGGTTGTTCTAGGTACCTACTATGTACGTTACTTGATCAATTCTTCTGCCTTGTCTTGCCTCCAATCTGCCAGGCCTGCACTGCATCATTGCATCTGCACTGCGTCTGCTGCATGCGTCTGTTCGCTTCTCACAGACTCATTGTACGTACTGTACTCGGCCAAGGGCCTATGACTTGAACGCTTGGGAGGTTGCAGGAGGGGGGGAGGGGGGTCATCCCGTCTCATGGATGTGGATGTGGATGTGTGACAGGCATTTCATGGGAGTATCCAGTGCCAGCCTCTCCAGACAGAGACAGGGGCCTAAAAGCCACTGGATATACAGTATGACGGTGCATTGAGATCTCTCGCACTGTGTTGTCGGTGTGTTGTAACCTACCTATCGACGATGATGATGATGATGATGATGATGATAGAGACAGACGACGGACGGCAAGCCATGAGGAGATGGAGATGCCGATGGTGGTGATAGTGGGTGAATTGATATCAGATGGTGGTGGCGGTCGGCTCTTGTGATACCTCAAGCTCAGCATATCCTTAGTTTCCTTCCTCTTCTGGCTCTCTGCTTGGCCATACAAGATCCTCTTCTCGCTTCTTTTCCTTCCGTCCTTTCCAGTTACCGTTCGCGATACGCGGGACTCAGGCACCTTCCGTCACGCACATGCCATGCCGCAGGGCTAGTCGCAGCATGCACCTCACCCATTGGAGAAGCAACCTCAACTTGACACTTAGGGCTGAAGAGGCTTTTTGAGATTGGACATGGGCCTGGCCTCTCTCTGGGGGGGCGTGTCTCTTTTCCAAATCGACACTGTATTCGGTAGGGAACTAATGATTTTCTGCCGGAAACTCTCTTCTCATTCTCCGCAGCCTTATACCTCAAGATTGCGGGCGCCAGCTCACCTTTACGCGAACTACAAACTACACTACACTACACTATCCGCTACAAATACTAACGCGAGATGCGGAACCAAATCCACGTCTAATTGGTTTCTAGCGCTACGAGTTGTCAAGACTTACCTTGCTCGCCCTGGCTAGGCCTAGTGTGTCAGGTGTCGCCCCCTCGGCTCTGCTGCGCGGTATTCAGTGAAGCTCGTTCAACTATGCTGACTGGATACACAGCAAGCTGCCCTTTTCAGCCATCATTGCATCTTCTAGTCATGACTTTCTATAACTGGACGACCATCTCGCTGGCCAAGAAAAGATCGCTACTCAACGGCTAATCACAGAGGTCCACCATGTCTCAACAGTCATGCATGCGAATTCGTTGTTAATTGTGCAAATTGGTTAGTTTGATTATCGAGACTCTCAGATATTTACTGTCTCAGGATATGAGTTTCTTGATCATAATCAGTTAGTTTGGGGTAATGTGGTTTGGGTTTGAGCAAAAGCGCTCCACTAGCATTGAAGACTATAAACAATCCCAAGCACGATCGTCATAATGAATCCGCCATGCAAGTTCTATTTCAGCCATGGTAATTACCTAGATAAGCCTATTAGACGCTCTAAAGTGGCTGCTGGAAGCTATATCCTAGTCGATAGAATAAGGCAGGTAAGCAACCAGTAGTGTACCGAGGTTCGTTTGGTAGCTATGATCCCAAACCAGGATTTTCGAAGGGGGCTGTTTATTCCTCCGTGAAACTTTACAATTACATAAACTTCCCGTCTCTTGGTAAAACTGGGATAGTATATCCATGGATCTGGGACCTCGTCTATCCGTCTTTGTCGTTTCAAGTGACCATACATAGACTTTAAAACTTGTTAGAAATGAATTAATTGAATATTAGAGAGTGACCTTGTATGGGTGCGACAGTTTCATCGCTATCACGTGCTTACAGTGCCTCCACAGTGCCTCCACAGTGCGATATACTGCCACCTATTTAAGTGGCTACTGGAGGGCCTGGGTGCTTGACTTTTTTTGTCCTTCTACATCCACACCCACCAGAACCCACTGCCCAACTCTGCCCAATTCTATCCATCATTCATCTTCAAAGACACCCATTCTTCTAAAGACACTCTCCTTGCTCACGATGAGCGACAAACAGCCACTGACAACTGGGCAAGCCCTGGGCCATCTCCCCATTGCACAATTTGAGGCTCAGCTCCAAACCTGGATCAACAATGCCGTCCAGACGTCCATGCAAGCGCTCCTCAAGGACAGCCTGGGGCAGATGCACAGACAACTCAAGGACGACCTCACCGCCGCTATTAACGTCGCTGTCGCCGGTGCTCTGAAGGACCATCTTGGCGATTGTGAGAAGGACCGCAAGTCACTCAAGTGGCGCATGCGAAACCTTGAAGCCGATCAAGTTTAAGCTGTATGTATCTATTACCATGTCCATGGATAGTACTTACTAACTCCATTTTAGAGACGCGACGCAGACACATCAGTTTTGATCGATACGCATATACTACGAAGGAATGGACGGTATTAATGGAGAAGGAACAGTTATAGCAAAGGCCAGGCAGTTTAGCTACTACTCGGAACCATTATTATCATTCTCTCCTGGTTCGGGGCATTAGCAGTTGCACCCCAATAAAAAGAATATCTCTCCTGTCGTTGCTTGAGTTTTCAAGTGGTCGCATGAAGATCGCCCGTGCAGATTGGTGTCCGCTGCATCTGCCACGCGCCAGATACCCTAGGTGCCGTTAAATTCGGGGGCCAAATGACTAAGAATCATTTCCAGTCAACTACGCACGTACATTCTGTGGTAGACTTGCATGAAGATTCGGAAATATTAAGGAGTGAAAGAATTGGAGGAGTACGAACTACCTTTGTCGATCTGGTCGTGACATATCATATTCTCCGCGGGGCTTTTGTTTCTCACTCACTTAGAGTGGAGATTGTGATATCAATCAACAAAAGATGGATGGATAGATATTAGCCACGCATATTTAGAAATACAAACTAGATACCTCTTGACATTAGGCTAGACCCCTACATTTAACCCGTACCCATCAGGATGATCCATTCCGCTTGGGTCCTCAAACTGGTTCTCCCCTAGCGTCATTTCCCAGAGGTCGGTTAAGCAAGAGAAACAAGACTAACTATCCCGTACTGAATGACGGTCACGGTCTTGTTGAACCATGTTATTCCAGTCCTTGGCCCATTTCGCTTTTGGTGCTCCTGCAGGAGGCACACGAGATTGATTCGTCTGCGCTTGCATTGGCGGTGCACCTAATAACAACAAGTTGTTTGATATCACATGTCATGTTTGTGCGTTTCTAAGCAAAGACGTCAACTAAATGGCCGTGGGGTTGCTTTGTGCCGAGGCTCGAGTTCCCCGACGGAGTTGACGGGACGGGGATCCCCGTCTCTTCTTTCATTCATCCTTTCACTCTTGCAACTCGAAAATATCGATATACCCGGTCCGACAGTTTTAATAGACAACCGGAAACATGACTGAGTTTCTCTTACTATACAGGTTTCAGTGTTTCTGACACAAAACTCTGTTTTGTTTTCTGCAGGCGATTATTCTCGGCGCGATGAGTTGAACAAGAAACTCGCCATGCCTCATACTGTATCTATTCATATCTCGTCGGCGTGTTCCGCTCGAAACCTCGCCCCTTATGTGGGCAATTAAAACAGACGGTTTACGAATCTGGCCATCCTATTTCCTCATTGGCGGACTATACTCGCTGTATTTCTTCGACAGAGGGCTCATATCTGAGTCTTGATCCAAGATTCTCATTCTGCTAATAACCCATGCTAACCCCAGGGTAAATCTTGCCCCGTTGTCGTTGCATTGTGCAGCAGGCACTCCGTATCCGTAGCTGAGCCGACTATAGTGTGGTGTGCAAAGATCCTCAGTTATGAAGTTCTGACTAATACTTGTGTAAAAATATCTAACAAGTGCGGGCGTTGGATTCAGACCTTGAGGTTGTGGTTGATTCCCACCCGAATCGGCCCGCGGAGCATTTTTAGCAGAATTCAAGGTCATGATCAGCATGAAATTTATGTATGTGCGTACAACCAGCAGCACAGCACAGGTCGGTAGTTGAACAACGTGGTAGTGGTAGCGGAACGGATCCTGCAGACCATCTTCCGGACTGTATGGGTACAGTACAGTAGTGTAGTGTTGAATCTCTCATCTCGTGGAAGTCGATGAGGCTACCCTATTATAGAAAACACCTCCGATATTGGGGAGAGATCGCGCGCCACGATGCTTCGTGCTCAGACTTCAGGGACACGCACGCACGCCATGGTCCGTCGCCCAATCGCGACAGGGACAGCGCTTCTGAGCGGCTTCCAAGCGCGTTCCTTGCAAGGATGGGAGACCCTTCCACGGAGTTTCCAGAATCTCGCACTCAACTCACTCGGCCGGCACTCCCTGGGCCCTAGGGGGTTATCAATGCTTTGGGCAGCCCCCGCAGCCTCACCCCTAATACGGATGGAACCTGTCAAAAGCCATGATAGGACCTTTTTTAAGGTAGTGGAGGCTATATCTTACTAGTTTGTGTGGAAATTACTATTGTCAGCTCACACCGCCAGCCTTCTTTCAAGTGTTTGACTCGTAACCAAGTGCGAGGCGACAAGGCTTTTACCGCTTATTCGTTAATGTTCTGCGAGACATGGGGTCATTGTTCGATACAGACTTTGTGTCCAGTGTTTTGATCCCTGTATCTGTTGGTGAGTGACCGTCCAACAAACACCACAGATTCAAGAAACTTGTACATGAATGCGCCAAGTTTCGATGACATGATGATCTCTCTTAGCCGTGTTCATCTACCGAGTGTTGATCATTGCAGCCCAAAGATGAAAGTGAAGCATTAATTGGTCGTCAAACTTGGCGATGGACCGTGCTGCGCCTCACCAATCTGCGAGGCTTATCAGATGTGGCGCTTAGTGACTCTACTGTACTTTGTACTTACTACCCCTCCCACGTTGAACTTCAATTGATCAAATCCCTTCCCCATACAACAAACAACCTTGTTCATTGAAGACAAAATCTTCAAGCCTTCAAAATTAGCATAGCATATTTTGCAGCTGTCATCATCTCCACCATCTCATCTCCTGCATATTCTGTACTGTACCTCCCACTGACGACCCATTGCTCTCCCTTGCCGCGTCACCTCATCCCAAATAGCCTCAAAGCCTTGGCCATCTGAATCTGAGATCCCTGCATATTGCGTTGGTCCAAGTTCTGCATCGCAATGGCGACCTTGGATAACGCGAATCCGACTATTCTGAGTGCATCTCAGCTACCTACCCGGCAGAAGAAGGCTGAGCCGCGTCGGGGTCCGGACTCCAAATACGACGATATCATCTTCGCGAAGCCATCGTATCTTTCAGGGCCTTTCGGTCAAGGTCCGGCCGCATGGCCTCGAATGAACGACTGGCAGGATGAATTCTCATCCGAAGCTATTGACGAGCAAGAAATTTATGGTATGATCTTTCTCCATTTCACTTGAGTCATATCGTTGGTGATTTTGCCACTCCAATATCCTCGTGCGCATTTACGCTTGGGCTTGGGGCTCGTGAGGCTTCTAAGTAACTCGAGCACATATCCACGTTAAACAAACCACGGCACTAACGTTGGACAGATTTGATCTCAACAATCTCGGATCCAGAGCACCCGGTTTCGCTTGGCCAATTGTCAGTGATTAACCTCTCTGATATTCACATTACTCCCTCTCCTTCTCTGGGCGTTCCTGACCCCAATACCATCGTTCAGGTGGTTGTGGAGATCACGCCTACCATCACCCACTGCTCGCTAGCCACCGTTATCGGACTGGGAGTTCGAGTAAGGCTTGAGCAGGCACTGCCGCCCAACTACCGTGTGGATGTTACTTGCAAAGAGAACAGCCACAACCAAGATGATCAAGTCAACAAGCAATTGGGCGATAAGGAACGAGTTGCTGCAGCTTTAGAGAACGATACTCTGAAGGGAGTACTGGACAAGATGTTGGAAACCTGCGCTTAGTCATGACAAGAGCTCTCTATTTTTGAAGGCTACCACTCTTTTAGAAGGCTTCAATATCACAGGGATTCAGCTCGCTGATCTTCCGGTGCGCACCATCGATTAATGTCACTACAACATGGCAAGTGACCAATACGAAGGATTGCGGAACATGATCATTCTCGTTCCGAAACCGACTGGCACTGTCTGGCAGGAGCAAAAATACCACCTCGGTGACCTTACCATGTCTTGAATCTCGGCATTCAAGTTGGGGTAGTCTGGATAGACTGTACCGTTAAACTGGTAATGAGAGAGCCCTGGGGAAAACAGCGAATCTTGATTGGAGAGCAAGGACAAGGGGTTCTATCCAGGATATCCTCATCTAAATAAGGTTCAGCTACCACGAACAAGTCACGGTACTCATGAGAAACCTTCCTCCAGTCCAAGTGCAACATCGCAACGAGTGGACATTCCAATATATCGGGCTATTGGAACCTGGTATTTCGAAAAGTATCGAGAATGTCATCGGTGCCATGTCGAGCTAATTTTTAGTTTGATACACAACACATGGTTGGGTTGCAATAAACGCGTATACTTTTGCCTTGATGCACGAACACACACATATTCACAATAAGACAAATGTCGACTCCTTCAACTTCCATCGTTCGTGAACCTCTGTTTCTTCGCTATCCTCTCGTGCATAAAAACCGACGTCGACCAGATTCCACGATTAGCTTTCCGTTTTGGGAATCGTCGTCGTATCATACTAAGTAGCGCCCTACATAGCATGTTACTCGCGGAGGCGCCCCAACGTCCCCCACTTCGGGTCGCCGCAAATCCAAACGTCCCTGACCTGACTGAGTCTGGGCCCCATAGTTCATAGTCACTTCAGTGCCTCGACAGGTACTGTAGGCTATGGAACGGAACCTACCGCCACGAGACGTCATGCTTGACTCTGTCGGCCCTTTTCATAGCCAAGAGGCAAGGTCCTCTCTCATAGGGCACTATCAAGAGCCGTCTGTTTTCTGCGATTTCTCCTTTCGTGGCATGTCCTGCCAAGACTAGTAGCTCCCGTTTGGCAGGTCGAAAAGAACTGGGGATTTAGACTTGCCGCCACACATGATCACATCATATACCAAATCGGCCAAGCCTCACGGTACTCAACTCATCAATCAGTCTATGCTCGAAATCATACAGTAGTCACGCCCCTAGCTCCAGGAGCTTCTGTCTTGGAGTCTGGAGACTTCATCCATATCACTATCCTTCAGGGGTTACCCCCCGCTCCCCCAGTGTGTTTGCGGTTTTGTGGACGCCCAGGGATCACAGTTGCATTTCGCTTGGACGGTCTCAAATGATATGTTTGGGGGAACGCAACCTTGCCTTGCGTCTGCGTGACGATCCCCCGATCTTGCAACTCCCGCGACGCGATCCCCCTGGTTCGATATGAGTCTCGGGATTGGTCCGCCATTGACGTTGCAAACAGACACAAGAGATGTGCATTTTCCTCAGTGTCGATCGTCAAAGTAAACATGAATGCATGTATTTGTCCGCAACCATCATTTGTCTTGCATATTCTAAGACACCACCTGCTCTATCCCGCATTTCCTGCTTCCTCGTGACATGGGGGATAAGCTAGCAGTGTCTTGGAATAACTCTCTCCACAACCAATGGGGGAGTTTTAGACTTGATCACTGAAGAGCCATGAGTGAAATCCTTCGTCAGCACTCCAGACTAATGTTACACCTTCAGGTTATGGCTTTAACCCTCAAGCCTTCACCGAGATGGGCTATGGATGTGCCTGGCAGATGGGCTCATGCCCATCGTTCCCGGCACCCTAGCAAACCTTGTGTCCTGTCAATGATCCCTGTCCAGGTGCTTATCAACCGCTTCGTCATTCACTTGCTTCCCACGAGGTTCATACCTTGGTCCCTGAAAGGGCAAGGGTTTCTAGAAAGACCCGTTAAGATTACCGGTTAATCGTCCCGTGGAAGCTTCCACGAAGCGCTCGTTCAACTGTAACATTTTCATTGTTGCTTTGACCTTTGTTTTATATCTGTATTAACAGGACAGTAAGCTTCTGTTTGAATTGTCTAATGAATCAACTGCGACACTAGTCCAGATCCTGAATGTTATTAACCTTGGCCTTAACTTTCTGCTGCACGATCTGTCGTAAAGCATAACCATGACGCTACAATCTGTACGGTAAAGCTCCAGGATAAATCCCCTAGCATCGTCGGCATCTTGAAAAAGATCCTGTCAATAAACGGGCCCCATTGTTGTTGACAAGGAGCGTGGATCTAACCAGAACAGCATTAGAATGGCCAACTCTACAGGAACTTATTCCATATGACAGAATTGGGAGTAGGCAAAAAGTCAAAGAACCTCAACACCTGGCCTTGATTTCTGATTATTATTCCCTGTTTATGCTGGTCTATATGAAACCTTCCCGTTGACCTGCTTGTCCCTTACGGTTCCACAGTGCGCCACTGATCTTCCAACTCATCCTTGCTACCAAATTCGTTTTATCAAAATGCAGGTGGCTATCTCCATCAAACAAAGGTTCAACCAACGGGGTTCAACTACTCCAAGATCTTTAATGGAGTCGTTCGTGCAGCCCCTGCTCCTCATATTGGACCCTCAAGACCCTCCCGGAATATCCCGTCCGTTGCTCATCCACAGATTGCAGTTGATTAGATCTCTCCCAGCATCCCACTCTCCATCAGGCTCTGATAGAACTCAGGCTCAAGGAACGTCTTGACGCTAACGTCTTCGCTTAGACCCTTGCGTCTTCGTGTCTTGAGAACAAAGTCGCGGGCAGTTGCCTGTGCAGAAGCAGGCTGGAGCGGACGAATGATCTGCTCGCGATCGAGAGGATCACCAGGCACGATGCTCCAGCTGTCAAACACAAGGCTAACCATCGAGCTGCCCTGCGTCTTGATCCGCAGGTCGGTTTCGAAGCCGAAACTGTCAATGACGGGCAGCAGACCGTTGACGCGATATAGCGGCGTACCAGCAACGGGACCATCTGACAAAACGTGTCCGCGACGCCGCGAGAGCACATTGTAGACCTCCATGTAGGAGTCCTCAGGACCCGTTACAGAGACTGAATAGACAGGCTCCATGAGGCGGGGCGATGCCATGAGGAAGGAGGAATAACACGCTCGTCGAGAAGTGGGGATGATTTGGCCACCTCCACGGAAGATGGCCTCGTTGGCTAGAAGTACATCTGTAACCTTGAACTTGGTGTTTCGTATCGCTGTTGCCTCATGTCAGTATTTGTTTTGAATCGTTCGCTGTTGCTCCT